CCCCGCCGCCGGGGGGACCCGGAGGAGACCCCGGGGACCCCCCCGGGGACCCCCCCAGGGACCCCCCCGGGGACCCCCCCAGGGGGGGCAGCGAGCGAGGCCCCGCCCCCGGCCACGCCCACCCGAGCGCGGACCCAGGTGAGAGCCCCGGTGTCACCTGAGGGTCACCTGAGGGTCACCTGAGGGTCACCTGTGTCACCTGAGTGTCACCTGTGTCACACCTGTCCTGTGTCACCTGTGTCACCTGTGTCACACCTGTCACACCCGTGTCACCTGTCCTGGGTGTCACCTGACACACCTGTCCCCCGATGTCACCTGTCACACCTGTCACACCTGTGTCACCTGTGTGTCACCTGTGCTCGCTGCCACCTGTGTCACCTCCTCCCCAAGGTCACCTGTCACACCTGTGGCACCTGTGTGTCACCTGTGTGTCACCTGTGTGACCTGTCACACCTGTGTCACCTCTGTCACCCATCACACCTGTCCTGGGTGTCACCTGTGTCACTCGAGTGTCACCTGTCACACCTGTCCTGTGTCAGCTGTGTCACCTGTGTCACCTGTGTCACCCGTCACACCTGGGTGTCACCTGTGTTATTTGTCACACCTGTGTCACCTGTGTCAGCTCTTACACCTGTGTCACTTGGGGTCTCACCTGTCCCAGGGGTCTCACCTGTCTCACCTGTCCGTGTCTCACCTGTCCGTGTCTCACCTGTCTCACCTGTCCCAGGTGTCTCACCTGTCCCTGTCCCTGTCCCAGGTGTCCCAGATGTCTCACCTGTCTCACCTGTCCGTGTCTCACCTGTCCCAGGTGTCTCACCTGTCTCACCTGTCCGTGTCTCACCTGTCCGTGTCTCACCTGTCCGTGTCTCAGCTGTCCGTGTCTCACCTGTCCCAGGTGTCTCACCTGTCTCACCTGTCCGTGTCTCACCTGTCCGTGTCTCACCTGTCCGTGTCTCACCTGTCCGTGTCCCTGTCCCGGCTCCGCGCCGAGGCCGCGGCTCTGCGGGGGCGGCTGCAGGGGACACACCTGGGGACACGCCCGGACAGGTGAGTGACACACCTGGGGACACCTGGGACAGGTAACACACACCTGGGGACAGCTGGGGACACACCTGGGGACAGCTGGGACAGGTAACACACACCTGGGGACACACCCGGGACAGGTAACACACACCTGGGACACCTGGGGACACCTGGGGACACCTGGGGACACACCTGAGACACACCTGGGCGGGGGCGGCTCCCGGGGTCCCTCAGGTGTCCCTCAGGTGTCCCCGGGCTCCCCCAGGTGTGACCCCTCCCCCCCCTCGGGGGGCGTGGCCGCCGCGCGCAGAGACCTGGCCCAGGTGAGCCACGCCCTGGGCGGGGCCACGGAGCGGCTGGAGAGGATCCTGGCACACCTGGGGCAGGTGAGGGGCGGGGCCAGACTGACTGACACACCTGGGGCAGGTGAGGGGCGGGGCCAGACTGACTGACACACCTGGGGCAGGTGAGGGGCGGGGCCAAACTGACTGACACACCTGGGGCAGGTGAGGGGCGGGGCCAAACTGGGCCAGGTGAGGGGCGGGGCTAAACCCGGGACAGGTGTGGTGGGGGCGTGGTCACACATACATAGGTAAGGAGGGGGCGTGGTCACACGTGTTTCCGGTGGGCGTGGTCTCACCTGTTTCCGGTGGGCGTGGTCTCCCCGCCCAGGTGCGGCCGTTCCCCCCCGCTGTGGGGGAGGGGCGGGGCCGTGCCTCAGTTTCCCTCCCCTCCCCCCCAGGATTTGGGGCCCCGCCCCGTCACACCTGTCA